GTGATACGTTGTCATTGAAATGATCAAATTAATACTACTTTACAACACAATTTCAGCATTGTTAAGTTACTAGTCAAGAGAGTAAATAGAGTTAAAGTAACCCTGAGTCGTTTCCCAATGAATATGGAATTGTTTTTCAATACTTGACTCTTATGAAGACTCTGAAAAGGACAATGAATGTTATGTCATGCTTAAAAATAAGAATGCAAATCTATTATAATGAATTTGATATTGAAGAATGTATGAGTTTAAGTAAATAACAAATGAGAAACTTTGAAACAATTATAATGCATAGGCTAATTTCACTACTTTTTCAAGATAGATTCACCATTGGTTATCCAATTCAATTGATTATTGTTTGAGTTTCAAATTAATTGAAGTACATTCTCATTTAACTTGAAGGTGATTATACAATTAACCAAAGCAGATTATAAATCAAATGCAAGACCTTCAAAGATTATTCACAATGAATTCAACCAAAGTACATTTTCAATCAAATCCTATTGTGTTTAATCATGTCTATTCTTAAATCCCCGAATCAAATTAAAAGCTAATTAATCAAAATAAATTCTCAATCAAACATAGAAACCTCTAAACTCATATGATTAATATGCATGTAGATTCAAACACCTTATGATGCAAAAATCATTGTTTTTAATATGATTAAGAAATGAAAGACATAGAAGAAGAATAACTCAAATTAATAATCAAAAGAATCAAATTCATTAATTTAACTTAACTCTAGAATTCATAATGAAATTACAGTGGAATAGTCCTAGAAGTTTAGCCCTCCATGAATGGAGTTGAATCAGTTAAAAGAAAAGTGGAGAAACTGTAGGATGATTGTTTTTCCAATGAGGAGTATGAGAGAAATGAGTGGTTATATATATCTGCCTCTCCTAGATTTCTTTATAGTGGTTTTGAATTGACTTGGACTCTAAATATTCTACAGATAAGATCTTTTATCTTATATCTTATATCTTTCAAATATTCAACAGCTTTAATCAATTTTTAAGAATATTTGATAAATTTTTCTTGTTGGTATTTTCAAATTAAATGAATTATCTTTAAATATCAGCTGAATTGTCTCTGAAATTTCATTTATGTCCTTCTTAATTTTCCAAAATTGCAAAAAAGTCCTTAAAATTTCTTCTTCCAACTTTAGTTGTACAAGTAAATATTAAAATATTTAACATAATTTATGCAACTAAAAATCACATTTTAAACATTTTTAATTTCTAAACATGATAAATTCAATTGTCACAAATTTACTTTAAATCAACCATTTTAAGTATAAAAATCTTATCAAAACTTTAAATTTTATAACATAAATGTAGACATAAATATGTACACATCAATTAGAAACAAATGTATACATGAAAAAGTAATAACAAATATAACATAACTGATACAACTGATTTTGTTTATTACGTCCTTGTAAACTTATGACAACTCCAAGATTGTCGGAATAGATGGTGGATGACAGTACCTTAAGGTGAAGCGCTTGAACAAGATAGAGTTCATGACCTATAGGTGGCAGCGACAATGATATGATACTTGACTTCCGTTGAACTACGAGAGATGACTTTCTATTTCTTAGAGAACCGGTATTTTAGATTTGGGCCGAGAAGGACACAGAAAACGAAAGTGGGCTTGCAATCATTGAGATTAGATCCCCAATCAGCATCAGTGAAAGCTTGTATCTTCAAACGAGCGTGAGGAGTGAAAAGAAGACTGTCTGCCATTTGCACTTTGTAAAGGATTTCGTGAATGTACCATGTAAACGATCCAATAACGGCTTAAAAAAATTAATAAACTTAACAAATATCAAATTTCATATTTCGTTAAAATATATTCTAACAACAATAATTCTAATACCAATGTAAACGAATTTAAGAACAAGAAATAAATTGTATTGATAGAAAAGTTTATTGTCCTTAGCAACGGAAATAGCAGAAAAATATATATACGAGAAGCAAACATAGAGAACATATGACAAAACAATAACATATACGATTGATATAACACGCATGCATGTATACTAAAATAAACATAAAATATTTTTAAATAATTTGGTTTTACATAAAAAACTATCATATACAATATTTTGAATTATTAGTGAAACTTTAATATTTAATTCTCAATATACAGTACTCAAATTTAACCATGGATTTAATTTTCCACTTAGGTAGGTAACATTCACATCATTTCTCAATCCAATCTAAAACCCTTAATTTTTCAAACTAAGATAATAATACCATATAACATATAATTATACACACATAAAAATATTTAAATTAAACATGTCACATAAAATAGAAGAATATCACTTACTGAATGAGGTATTGCTTGAACAATATAATTTAAAAAATAAAAAATCATTTGTTTCTCTCCATGGAACAAGATGTTGTTGATATGAAACATATTTCTTTAAGCAGCACTTCATTCATCAAGTGATATTGGAAGATTATCTCTTCATCCAAATTTTGAAAATTTTGTATCAACTTTTTTTATTTTTTAAGTGACAAAATGAATGCTTGAATGAAATACATAAGAATAAAAACCTAAACACATATATTCAGATACTAATATATACTGTTTCTATTTCATTTATAACCATAATATTGATCACTAAAATGTCATTTCTATTAAATCACTTATCTTATGTTATCATCTCATTTCAAAAATAGGTAAAATCTCTACTTAAGTTTTCTAACAAATATTAATTCTCGAGGGAGAATAAGAGGTGAAAGTGGTGGGAAACAGTTTTCAAACATGATTAGAAAATGGCTAAAAACAAGGAACCTCATAGCTTTTTCCTTCTGCAAATTTTATAAAATTACAATGAATTCTTATTGTTCGAAAAACAAAATGGTTTCGATACCAACCACTAAAAAAAGAAAAGAAAATGGATGTGAATGTTAAATTTGAATGTATGAATGTAATTATCAAAGAAAGCTTAATTATAGTCTGGAACCCTATAAAGTATATGAATTTAATGATAGTTGACTGAAGACGAAGACGGGGAGTCTAAAATACATTACAGAGAATAATAATTAATGGTTTTTTTCTCATTATTTATTATTAATATAATATACATATTCGTAATATTTAATAGAAATAAAGAAAATGTATATAGTATATTTTATAGAATATGAAATAGTTTATAATGCACTTTATTATTTATATTTAAGGACGATTCCCGCAAAATATAGGAACTTCTTAATTTGAAGAGTGAGGTATGCATAACGGTCAACAAAAAAATCTTGGTAACAGCTTAGACCGCCTTAATGCAAACTTTGATATTTGACACCAACTAAACAAAATATTTCTATTTCACAATATAATTTAATAATATAATACTATATAGTAGAATTTTAAATTAAAAAAATAAAATAAAAATAAATAAAATAAATTTTAAATTATTAAATGGATGTTTTTTTATTTATTTAATAAGTATTAAAATATCATCACCTTAAAAGAGACGCTTATCAGAATTTAACAAAAGATTAAGGTTTTCTTAAAACTTTTAGAAGAAAACACATAAAAGAGCAAAGTAAAGAGGATTTTAATTTATAATATACTTTTTCCAAGGTTGATGATCATTTGAAACTTTTTTTTCCACGTCCACCTTACAACTACGTAAAACAATAGTTTATTATAATATTTCATTTATATTTATTATTATTATTAATATTATTCACACCCACTTTTCTTTTATTCGTATTTAACAAGTGTTCTCAAAATTGGTTGTAATCTACCGATCAATCCGGCTCACCATGAGTTTGAACCGGGTTGAATTTGAAAAAAGTGTAATTTTTTTTATATGAGTTAGTTTCCAACTCTGCTTACTTAGAACCTGGATCACCGGATTGAACTCATGGTGAGTCGGATTGACTCACACCAACCCACCTAATTTAATTTAATTATTTATTATTTTATATTTCAATATTATTAGTTAGCATTTTTTATTATATTGTAGATGGTAATAAAGAAGTAAATGTTTCTAAGAGAGAAATATATTATAAATTTATTTATTCAAGATTCTAATATTATAAATGGACAAAGTGATACAAATATTATCATTGTACATGTTTTTTTATTATGCTTGGATTTTATGATATTTTTTTTTAATTGTCTTTGTAGTTTAACATTATTTTATTGTGACATTTATTTAGATTTGAATTAAAAAAATATATAATTTTTTTATTTTAATAAAAACTTATAATTACATGAGTCCGTGAGTCAACCCATTTAACCCACCAACCTGTGTGGTGGATCGGGCCGAATTCGATTTTTTTTAGCTGGCCAATAAGTGAGCCGAGTTACCCATTTTGACAACCCATAATACTATTATTTCAATAAAATTTTACATAATATAAATATAAATTTACCCTTTATTGGATATTTTTAGGGAAAAATTATTTTAGTAAAAACCTTTAATTTGTTATTAAATATGTAGTTTGAATTTCGTTAATATTTGAAGTATCACATGTCTATTAAAAAAAGAAAAATTAACTGTGATATCATTGTACTCTTTACTCTTTATCTTATAGATTTAAAATTTTTAATGATTCTTTTAATTTTAAGTACATATTAAAGGTTACATTTCCTTGTAATAAACATCCATCAACACATGTTAAGAAAACAATTTCTTTTTTCTTATTATATTAAAAAAAATGAGATAAATATTTATTATACTTAATTACTTAATTATTTTTTCTATAAACAAAGTGTATAAAAAATGGGTTGTTAAAGTACATTGTTGCTTTTTCTAAACTGGTTTAAAGAAGTAAGTTCAATATATGTCACTCTAATTTATTGTAATCATTCGTAATAAGGTAACACGAAGTGACAGTTCATTTTCAATCAAGTGAAAGTTCATTTTCAATCATGTTATATACCTCCATTTTTCGTAGAATAGAACATGAACAAGAACATTTCACAACCTATTTGATCCATCTTTCACTGTCATTGTTTTCCCTTATTTTGCTTCAACCATGATCAAAGGTAGCGACGTGTACGATGTTGTGGCAGCGCTTGTGCCTCTCTACGTGGCTTTGTTTTTAGCATATGGCTCCGTCCGTTGGTGGAAGATCTTCAGCCCAGAACAGTGCTCTGGCATAAACCGTTTTGTGTCTGTTATTGCAGTGCCCTTCCTCTCTTTCCATTTCATATCCAACAATAACCCTTACACCATGAACTTCAGGTTCTTAGCAGCCGACTGTCTTCAAAAGGTTGTGATCTTGGCTGCACTTTTTCTGTGGAACACTTTCACAAAATGGGGTAGCATTGACTGGACCATCACACTGTTCTCAATCTCCACTCTCCCCAACACGCTCATCATGGGTGTTCCTCTTCTGAAAGCCATGTATGGAGACTTCACAGCCACCCTCATGATCCAAATTGTGGTTTTTCAGAGTGTGATTTGGTACACTCTCTTGTTGTTCATGTTTGAATACAGAGGGGCCAAGCTTCTCATCTCAGAGCAATTCCCTGACACTGCTGGAGCCATTGCCTCCCTAAGGGTTGATTCAAGTGTGAGCTCTCTCAATGGAAGAGAACCATTGCATGCTGATGCAGAAATTGGAGAAAACGGAGAACTCCACGTGGTGTTGAGAAGCATGTCACGTTCTACGTCCGTAAACATGCCTTCTTCATTCCACAAGTCATATTCAACACCTAGACCATCAAATTTTACTGGAGAAAAACCTAATCTCCAAAATGCAGCTTTTGTGGATATGCCTCAGGAAAAGTTTTGGAGGAGCAAGAGCGACGGTTGCGGGGTTTCTAGAGCTGGTTTTGTTTACTCATACCCCTCACAAAATCTAGGGTTTGTAGGGTTTGATGGTGGTTTTGTTTCTTCACACATTTATCCAAAACCAGAGTTTCCAGGGTTTAGAAGTGGTTTGTCTACTCCAAAACCAGTGATTGCAGGGTCTAAAAATTGTTTATACACGTTTGGTTGCGGCTTGAATGCATCATCAAATTCTCATGTTAATCAGAGACATGAAATTATAAACAGAGTTGGCTCCTTTTCCACCATTGGACCTTCCAAATTTCCACTCGAAACTGCTGCTTCAAAAGGTAACACTCACTGAGAAATTTTGCATGTCATTTACCTAGAAATGTGACTGATTATACGTACAATCTTACTTGTTAAAAATGATTGAACATATATGATTTATTTTATTTTACAAAAGAGTTAACTGTGTTGGAAAGTTATTCATCTTCATGCTTTCTTAGTTACATGCATATATATCATCATTGATATGTCTAGAGACTGGCTAGTTTCAACTTTTGAGTGATTAATAGTGTTCTCAGAATATTAAAATGTCTAATAGTTAATCATTTGTGAAACAAAATTAACCACGTTTACATATTAAAGAAAAATCAATCATGTCATAGAATTATTTTTAAACACTACTTTCATATGTGTGTCAATATCTTTATATTGCATTAATATATATTTGTATTTTTCATTTGTCAAATATGTTTCATGAATTAATTCTATGAAATATAAAAAATATAAATATAATATTTGATACATATAATTTTTAGCATCGTATAAATACATTGACTGTTCGATTACATTAAATAATTTATTTATTACATATAATATTTGGCCAAATTATTTAATTGATAGAAAAATTAATACATATTTATATATTTACCAATGTATTTACTTAACTTCAAGATTTCAAACTTCATACTGACAAGTAACAAGTAACTAGTTTAAACATTAATAAAAAAATGTATTTTATTGCATTATTAAATTTGATGAGTATATTATTTTTAATAAATAAAATATTGAAAATTAATTTTATTTACAATAAAAAATACTGTATTTATCAAATATAACAGTAGTCAAATAATAAATATGGAAAAATAAGCGATAAATTTATTGAACGTGTACGATTAATCAATATCATATTATTGTATATTTAAGTTTCCGATTTTAAGATATGTATATATATATATATATATATATATGTATGTATGTATAAGTATATATGTATTTCACTTTAAATTTATGGAATGTATTGCATTAATAAACATGCCTTTAATGTACGGATTTAGTCATTAATTAGTCATAATTATTTTACTGTATATTTTTCTTATGTAGATAGATGTGCATAAAAAGCTATATATCAATACGTATATTTAATAGTATTCTTTAATTAACTACTTATCATATTTAATAAATAATAAAATAGATTAATTATAGAAAAAGTGACCATTCAACAAATATAAAATATTATATGTACTCTATTGCATCATAGAGTAGTGCCTCTCATTTAATTCAAATTTATGTTGCACCTTTATTAGTTTTTGTACATTGTAAACAACCTTCTTTGCTTTGGGTCAATACGTAGGTTTTGTCCTATCTAAATACGGCCTGTTTCTTTTCACACCCCCACAAAACTCATTCTGCACCACTATGAGTTTTGTAGGTTTTAAAAAAAATTACTTCAACAAGGATCGAAGTAAACTAATATTCATTGTCAAGGTCTGTTTGATTTTTTTTTTGTTTTAAATTTATTCTAGGATAATTTCTCGATATTAAATTTCCATTAAGATTTCAAAATTTTCTAAATATGCTTTATTAACCAAAAAGGAGTTGAGATGTTTTCAATCTTGTTTTTTTAAGTGTTTATATGAGAAAAGCTTTTGAATAACCAAGATTAATTAAATTTATGGATATATTTTAAGTATGAAGAAATAATAATTTACCAAGATGTTGAAATTGATTCGATTGCATTTTCTCTTTTAGGTACTGACTTTAACTCCATATTATTTTTCAAGGAAAAGTAACAGTGACATATATTTAAGTGAAAGTTTTAAATTTTGATTAGAAAAATGATAAAAGTTATAAATTGTGATTTGTGGAATCCTTGCCAACTGTGATTGATAACATTAGCAATAATCATAAAGTGAGAGAATTTGTAATTAGTTAAAACTTTTCTGTAGCAGTACATGAACTTGTAAGTGATGAAGAAGCAGAACATAGCGCAAAGGGGAAACAAAAAGAGGTGAAAAGTGAAGAAGTTGAGACAAACAAAAATCAACAAATGCCACGTGCTAATGTCATGTTAAAACTTATTCTGATAATGGTTTGGAGGAATCTGATAAGAAACCCTAATACCTATGCAAGTGTTTTAGGTCTCATTTGGTCTCTCATATTTTACAGGTATTTTTTCCCATCTCTTTAATGTGTTTCTAAGTGTCTTTCTACAAAACTCTTGTTAATGTATAATTAGCATAACTATCACCATTCTTTCAATCCTTGTTTCATGTGTGTAGGTGGAGCATCAAAGTGCCATCTATTATAAAAGGTTCCATTGAAATAATTTCTAACACAGGACTAGGAATGGCCATGTTCAGTCTTGGTATACGTTCTTGCCTTCCAACGTTAACCTTTTTTTTTTCTTCTTTCTCACTTTTTGCCAACAAATCTGGGTTCATCTTATTATAATTCTTGAAGTGTGCATATACACATACAATGTTGTTTTGTATAATGTGGTTTATTCTTAGGTTTGTGTTATTTTATGTTGTCTGTGTTACAGTGTTTTACTCAATTACACAGGTCTATTCATGGCATTACAACCTAAGATCATTACTTGTGGAAAAACTCTGGCTTCACTTGCATTCGCAATTAAGTTCTTGGTTGGTCCATTTATAACTCTTGCAGCCTCCAAAGTAATTGGTATCCATGGAGTTCTTTTACGAGTTACAATTGTTCAGGTGAAATCAAACCTAACTGTGTTCAAACTAATCAAATTGCATTGATAACATAGTTTTTATTGTGATACCATTGTACAATTTTGTAGGCTGCTCTTCCCCAAGGAATTGTCCCATTTGTATTTGCAAAAGAATATAATCTTCATGCAGACGTACTCAGCACAGCGTAAGTGTGTTTTTTTCATAAATTTATATATGTACACTGAAAAAAAAACTATTAATGATAAGAAATGCATTTTGTTAGAAATGGATTTAAAACATGAATGGAAGTTCTAAAAGGATTTTACACTTTTTGCAGGGTTATCTTCGGAATGGTGGTTGCGTTGCCCGTAACAATAATTTACTATGTAGTTCTTGGACTTTAGTAAAAAGTTTCACACTCATAAGATGGAGCATGTATGTAGCATTTGATCTATGGTTAGATTTCAAATGGAAAGTGGTGTATATTTGAAGTAAATTCTACTAATACATATGTGTGATGGTTATGTTAAAAGGCATTATTTATGGTGCAGACATCGAAGAGTTCTTCATGGATGGAATGTGATTCCTCTCTTGTGTTTGTTGCTTTCAAGAACACCTATTATGATCCATTAGAGGTAGATGGAATTGTTGTATTGTTATGAGCATAGTTATTAATTTTAAGGTGTCACACATATATTTAGAGAATGAAATAAATTTACTTATAAAATTGCAGCCAAATATGTTTTAATATAAAGAAATATTTTTATGGTGGTTATATTGATCATTTTGTCACTTTAAGAATATTGACAGAGATGATTAATATATAAAAAAGAATACTTATTTTTCGTTGGCTATAATCAAGTTATAAAAAAAAAAAGCTTGACTTTTTACATTGGTTGAAGCAAGAATTCATATAGAAATACTTTTTGGATAATGATACTTTTGATAATATTTTTTTAACAACATTTTAACATTATATATGTGTCATTCTGTGATTGGTCCAAAATTACTGTACAATCAATAATAATAATCATAAACACTAACATGGACCAATCATAGAATGACACGTAGATGGTGTAAAAATATTGTTAAAAAAATATTGTCAAAAGTATCATTATCCATACTTTTTACATCAATTACACTCTTAAGTGAGATAAAAAAAGTGTATCTTTCTTTTACTATTTTGACACATGAACATTTTTAGGAAGATAATTTCGAACAACGATGATAACTAAAGTATACCAAACATACCAAGCTACATAAAGTATTTAAAATTAAATACGTTGAAGAAGATAAATTGTTCATTGTTATCGTATTTACAACATGTTAAACTTAAAATGATCGCAAGCGTANCTGTTCGATTACATTAAATAATTTATTTATTACATATAATATTTGGCCAAATTATTTAATTGATAGAAAAATTAATACATATTTATATATTTACCAATGTATTTACTTAACTTCAAGATTTCAAACTTCATACTGACAAGTAACAAGTAACTAGTTTAAACATTAATAAAAAAATGTATTTTATTGCATTATTAAATTTGATGAGTATATTATTTTTAATAAATAAAATATTGAAAATTAATTTTATTTACAATAAAAAATACTGTATTTATCAAATATAACAGTAGTCAAATAATAAATATGGAAAAATAAGCGATAAATTTATTGAACGTGTACGATTAATCAATATCATATTATTGTATATTTAAGTTTCCGATTTTAAGATATGTATATATATATATATATGTATGTATGTATAAGTATATATGTATTTCACTTTAAATTTATGGAATGTATTGCATTAATAAACATGCCTTTAATGTACGGATTTAGTCATTAATTAGTCATAATTATTTTACTGTATATTTTTCTTATGTAGATAGATGTGCATAAAAAGCTATATATCAATACGTATATTTAATAGTATTCTTTAATTAACTACTTATCATATTTAATAAATAATAAAATAGATTAATTATAGAAAAAGTGACCATTCAACAAATATAAAATATTATATGTACTCTATTGCATCATAGAGTAGTGCCTCTCATTTAATTCAAATTTATGTTGCACCTTTATTAGTTTTTGTACATTGTAAACAACCTTCTTTGCTTTGGGTCAATACGTAGGTTTTGTCCTATCTAAATACGGCCTGTTTCTTTTCACACCCCCACAAAACTCATTCTGCACCACTATGAGTTTTGTAGGTTTTAAAAAAAATTACTTCAACAAGGATCGAAGTAAACTAATATTCATTGTCAAGGTCTGTTTGATTTTTTTTTTGTTTTAAATTTATTCTAGGATAATTTCTCGATATTAAATTTCCATTAAGATTTCAAAATTTTCTAAATATGCTTTATTAACCAAAAAGGAGTTGAGATGTTTTCAATCTTGTTTTTTTAAGTGTTTATATGAGAAAAGCTTTTGAATAACCAAGATTAATTAAATTTATGGATATATTTTAAGTATGAAGAAATAATAATTTACCAAGATGTTGAAATTGATTCGATTGCATTTTCTCTTTTAGGTACTGACTTTAACTCCATATTATTTTTCAAGGAAAAGTAACAGTGACATATATTTAAGTGAAAGTTTTAAATTTTGATTAGAAAAATGAAAAAAGTTATAAATTGTGATTTGTGGAATCCTTGCCAACTGTGATTGATAACATTAGCAATAATCATAAAGTGAGAGAATTTGTAATTAGTTAAAACTTTTCTGTAGCAGTACATGAACTTGTAAGTGATGAAGAAGCAGAACATAGCGCAAAGGGGAAACAAAAAGAGGTGAAAAGTGAAGAAGTTGAGACAAACAAAAATCAACAAATGCCACGTGCTAATGTCATGTTAAAACTTATTCTGATAATGGTTTGGAGGAATCTGATAAGAAACCCTAATACCTATGCAAGTGTTTTAGGTCTCATTTGGTCTCTCATATTTTACAGGTATTTTTTCCCATCTCTTTAATGTGTTTCTAAGTGTCTTTCTACAAAACTCTTGTTAATGTATAATTAGCATAACTATCACCATTCTTTCAATCCTTGTTTCATGTGTGTAGGTGGAGCATCAAAGTGCCATCTATTATAAAAGGTTCCATTGAAATAATTTCTAACACAGGACTAGGAATGGCCATGTTCAGTCTTGGTATACGTTCTTGCCTTCCAACGTTAACCTTTTTTTTTCTTCTTTCTCACTTTTTGCCAACAAATCTGGGTTCATCTTATTATAATTCTTGAAGTGTGCATATACACATACAATGTTGTTTTGTATAATGTGGTTTATTCTTAGGTTTGTGTTATTTTATGTTGTCTGTGTTACAGTGTTTTACTCAATTACACAGGTCTATTCATGGCATTACAACCTAAGATCATTACTTGTGGAAAAACTCTGGCTTCACTTGCATTCGCAATTAAGTTCTTGGTTGGTCCATTTATAACTCTTGCAGCCTCCAAAGTAATTGGTATCCATGGAGTTCTTTTACGAGTTACAATTGTTCAGGTGAAATCAAACCTAACTGTGTTCAAACTAATCAAATTGCATTGATAACATAGTTTTTATTGTGATACCATTGTACAATTTTGTAGGCTGCTCTTCCCCAAGGAATTGTCCCATTTGTATTTGCAAAAGAATATAATCTTCATGCAGACGTACTCAGCACAGCGTAAGTGTGTTTTTTTCATAAATTTATATATGTACACTGAAAAAAAAACTATTAATGATAAGAAATGCATTTTGTTAGAAATGGATTTAAAACATGAATGGAAGTTCTAAAAGGATTTTACACTTTTTGCAGGGTTATCTTCGGAATGGTGGTTGCGTTGCCCGTGACAATAATTTACTATGTAGTTCTTGGACTTTAGTAAAAAGTTTCACACTCATAAGATGGAGCATGTATGTAGCATTTGATCTATGGTTAGATTTCATATGGAAAGTGGTGTATATTTGAAGTAAATTCTACTAATACATATGTGTGATGGTTATGTTAAAAGGCATTATTTATGGTGCAGACATCGAAGAGTTCTTCATGGATGGAATGTGATTCCTCTCTTGTGTTTGTTGCTTTCAAGAACACCTATTATGATCCATTAGAGGTAGATGGAATTGTTGTATTGTTATGAGCATAGTTATTAATTTTAAGGTGTCACACATATATTTAGAGAATGAAATAAATTTACTTATAAAATTGCAGCCAAATATGTTTTAGTATAAAGAAATATTTTTATGGTGGTTATATTGATCATTATGTCACTTTAAGAATATTGATAGAGATGATTAATATATAAAAAAGAATACTTATTTTTCGTTGGCTGTAATCAAGTTATACGAAAAAAACAGCTTGACTTTTTACATTGGTTGAAACAAAAATTCATGTAGAAATACTTTTTGGATAATGATACTTTGATAACATTTTTTTGACAATATTTTAACATCATTTACATGTTATTCTGTTAAAATTACTCCACAATCAATAATAATAATCATAAACACTAACATGGACCAATCACATAATGACACGTAAATGGTGTAATACTTTTTACATCAATTACACTCTTAATTGAGATAAAAAAGTGTATCTTTCTTTTACTATTTTGACACATGAACATTTTTAGGAAGATAATTTCGAACAACGATGATAACTAAAGTATACCAAACATACCAAGCTACATAAAGTATTTAAAATTAAATACGTTGAAGAAGATAAATTGTTCATTGTTATCGTATTTACAACATGTTAAACTTAAAATGATCGCAAGCGTCGTTTCACATATAATTCCTACTACTTAAAATATGTTTTCACAGTTTTAAGTAAAATAATTTTATTAATTTTATTCAATAGATATACGCTTAAAAATAAACTATAGATATTTGTATGATCACACGCGCTCAAAAATAAACTATAGATATTTCTGTGATCGTATGTCTTCTTAGTATTTTTATCTTTCTTTTAAAAAAACACAAAAAGTGTATAAAAATATATAAATTTTAAAACTAAAATATCAATACCATCAGTTTTGTTTATTAAGAATTATGTGATTTTTTATTTTCTATCATAAAGATTTTCCATTCTAGAAAGAAATACGCAGGATAGGATGAAGGTTGATTCTTGTCAAACCCAAATAAATATTTTCTTGTCAATAAAAATATAAAAATTGTTTATTAGATATTTTGGGAAAAATGAGTATTTTAAAAAATAAAGATGCTAAATTTGGAAAAACATTATAGGATAGGATGTTAATACATTAACTGATTTTAGAACTGAAAATTGGATCTGTGGCTACCAAACTCAAAATTCATTTGATAGATTTAAGACTTTTTTTTTTTATAATTTTTCACGATAAACTCCGACGACAATTATGTATTTTTAAATTAAATTATCATCTTGAGACCGATTGCGACACGCAAGTGTCATTTGGAACACGATTTTAACCTTTTAAAAAAATTAATTGATTAATCTTTTCGATAAAATATTATTTTTTATTCTTAGATGAATATACATCTGTGATAGAAAAAGCTTTTATCGGTAAAGTTAATTTACTTTTAATAAAATTATTTAAATAAAGGGCACATTTATAGTTGTTCTTAATTTATGCGAAAATTTATTCTACAAAGTATTCTAGAAACAATGTTAGTTTTTAATTGAAATTAGTAAAAATAAATTCTTTTATGCGACACCTTTTAATTAGTAAAAAATAGTTATTTTTATTTGAGTAAGATGCATTTGAGTTTTCAGCTGTGTGACCAATGCATTTGAGTTTTCAGCATACATTTAGAATCTGTCAACACATAACGTGTATGCAAGTCAAGGGGACAAAACATACAAAACGATGATTGCAAACAAGAAGCATATAAGTCAATGAACCAGAAGAAGCAAATTCACAAGACACAAGCCTATGGTTTGATTCTGCAAAACATATTATACCACTACACGTGGAATTTATAACCTTTTCGATCAAGGGTGAGTCTCAAAACATGTTAATGGCTTTCTGATAAGCCAAAGATATTCCATTTGAAGCACCGAATGACAGCTAAACTTGTGGGAAATATAGTACTACAAGAAAAAGCACCTTCCACATTCAATTTCACCCACCCAACAGGTGACTATCTCTAATGCTTATTACAGAACTTACACGCTTTTTTTTTTCTCCAATTTTTCTTAATGATACCACTTTTTTTTTATGCTAATTTATGCTTTAGGAAGACACGTATGTAAGGAGAAGACCAGCATAGAAGAAGAGTCCAGAATTTTGGACTCCTCTGCCACCCTTTTCCCAAGTTCCTTTTGGTTGGTGTTATATATAAATATACACTTTCTTTTGAAATTAAACACAAGAAGAAATAAACAACTTCTTTCCTTTCTCTCACCCTATAGTTTGTCTACCCTTATTTTGCTTCAAACATGATCAAAGGTAGCGACGTGTATGATGTAGTGGCAGCCATTGTGCCGCTCTATGTGGCTTTGATCTTAGCATACGGCTCCGTCCGTTGGTGGAAGATCTTCACCCCAGAACAGTGCCTTGGCATAAACCGTTTTGTGTCTGTTTTTTCAGTGCCCTTCCTCTGTTTTCATTTCATATCCAACAATGACCCTTACACCATGAACTTCAGGTTCTTAGCCGCGGACTCTCTTCAAAAGATTGTGATTTTGGTTGCACTTGTTCTGTGGAACTCTTTCACAAAGTGGGGTAGCCTTGACTGGACCATCACACTGTTCTCACTCTCCACTCTCCCCAACACGCTCATCGTGGGGATTCCTCTTCTCAAAGCCATGTACGGAGACTTCACTGCCACCCTCACGGTCCAAATTGTGGTTTTTCAGAGTGTGATTTGGTACACACTCTTGCGGTTCATGTTTGAATATAGAGCGGCTAAGCTACTCATTCTGGAGAATTTCCCTGATACAGCAGGTACTATATCCTCCTTTAGGGTTGATTCACATGTCGGTTCTCTGGGTGGTCGAGAGATGCTAGAAACTAATGCAGAAACCGGAGAAGATGGGAATGTTCACGTGGTGGTGAGGAGCATGTCACGTTCTGTGTCCGTTGCATCAAACCTCACTGGGATTGAGATCTATTCAGAGGAGTCATCTAGAGAACCAAAGCTGGGAAGATCAAATTTTAGTGTCACAGATTTGCACCCACATGGTCTGAAAAGAGAGAGGATGTCGAAAATTCATGAAAAGAGTTTTCCAAGGAGCAAGAGCGTTGGTCATCATTTGGTTTCTCCGTATCCGTTTCTGAAACCAACAGGGGACAAGGAGACAAACAGTAACAAGGGTTTGCACATGTTTATGTCAGCTTCACCAACTTCTGATCCTAATGTGAGACATGCTGCGAATAATAGAGTTGGGTCTTACGAGTTTGAGACCATGGAATCTTCAAACGGTGTTGATTTTGCAAGCGAAACTGGTTCATCCAAAGGTATTTTATCTCACCATAATCACATTTACACGTGCTGCATGCACTCACATATTTTGTCTTTTGTCCCTGAATCCTGGATAAATGAAATACATATAGTCTTATACTTTTCAAGTAACGTACATCATGCATGTTTATATCATCAACTTTTAATAACCCTCAAACACTTGCTTAATATATACTATAACTACTTAATCTTTTCTTTTATTAACTATGTATGGTACGTATTAGTCAAAAAGTGAAGTTCTTAAAATACTTTACACTAGATAAAATTAGACTTTAAAAATTGTAGAACATAATTACATTTCACTTTTTATTTCTTTTAAACTTAAAAAAGTAATCATAACTAAAGACATTTTCCATAGGATAATTAATTCAAGAAATATTTTAATTGTTTTCATTTTAAATCAGCCCCAACTTTAACCATATGGGCTGGATATGATGGGTTTGATCACTCTATAACTTTTCATATACACTCGTATTTTTTAAATATACTTTAAGTGCATGATTTTTTTAATTTTTAAATTTTAGAAAATAATTTATTTTTAAATAATACTTTTAAGATAGATGCATACTTTTACGTTAAGAATATATATATATATATATATATATATATATACACTATGCATTTATCAATTCATTCATATTATATTACTATATATTTAATATTTTATCAACGATTCTTTTAAAGGATATACAATTAAATGCTTATGGTATTAAAATATATATTGAATTTGTTTAATCCAGTGAAAGCTATGGTTTATAGTTTAAGAAATATATTATAAATAAAAAATGATTTTCTAAAATAAAAAATAAAATATCTACTCAAATTAGTAATTAAGTATAGAGTTTAACATATAAATTAATCGGGTATCTGTTTATATATTTCATGAATATTCTATGAGCTTTCTAAGATTTTTTGTTTTCAGATATATTTCCATTTCATAAACGAATTTTTTTAAAAAGGTATTTTGATAAATATATAAACTAATTATTAAATTTATAATAAAATAAATTAATGAAATTAAAATTCACGTTTCTAATTTAAAAATAAGCTTTAATTTTCTAAACTAGTGATCAGCAATATTAAAAAACAATTTTTTTTTGTGTGCTTCTTTTGTTTTGTTCGGAACTAATATAGATACAAATTGAAAAGAAAGATGGGAGAAATTCTATATTTAATTCCTTCTCTAACATTTAAGAGTTATAAGATATAAAGGGTTTGGAAGAGACAATGAAAAAGGTTGTGGGAAAATAATATTATAATTGTTAATAGTATATAATATTACCACATGATGTTGGTATAATGTAATGTCAAATTTGCTTAATGTTATTCGTAATATTGTAATGTAATAGAATGTATCATTAAAACAGACACATTTTGTAAATGTAGTTGTGCCTGCAGATGTTGAAAATGAAGGTGTTGTATTGAGGAATCAGATGAACGGCAACAGTGAAGGAGATTCAAACAGAAGGAAAGAAATGCCTCGTGCTAGTGTCATGATAAAGCTTATTCTCACCATGGTTTGGAGGAATCTCATAAGAAACCCTAATACCTACGCAAGTGTTTTGGGTCTTGTTTGGTCTCTCATATTTTTTAGGTATTTCGTCTGTCTCTTTCTACATTGATGTATGGAAAACCACAGCCTAAAGTTAGAAAAAAAAAAATCCTTAATTATATAGTATTATCATTCAATAATCTATAATGAAAAATTTATAACTTGTGGTTTGGCTGTGATCAGATGGAACTGGAAGATGCCATCTATAATAAAAGGTTCCATAGACATAATATCTAATGCTGGGTTGGGAATGGGCATGTTCAGTTTAGGTATGTATCACTTCAACTTAAACCCTAAACAACTTTTAGGTCAAAAGTATTAATTGTGGTGCGGTTTATATATCTCTCCGATATCATTACTTCATTAGTTTTAAGCTAACATCACACATGAATGAGTTATAACACAGGTTTCTTGTACATATATCTCAATTAGAGGATTTTTAAAAATGTAGTAGTTTTCTTTTAGAAAAAATAATGGTTAGGAAAATAATTGAAGTGTGCATAGTAAATTCAATCTCTATTTTTCTTTCTTTTTTTTTATGATACATAAATTATAAGTTGTAATTAGTGTTTAGGGTGATGATTACTTTTCTTAATTAAACAGGTCTGTTCATGGGATTACAACCGAAAATCATTACTTGTGGGAAAACCCGAGCTATGATTTCAATGTTAGTTAAGTTCTTGGTTGGTCCAATGGTGATTCTTGCAACCTCCAAAGTCATGGATATCAATGGAGTTCTTTTTAAAGTTGCAGTGGTCCAGGTGAAACAAAACTCACTTTTGAATTCTTCAATTTAATTAATAACATTTAATGATTATCTTTATATGTATATATTGAAATTCTATTATTTGTGACACCATTGTGTAATTAATTTTGTAGGCTTCTCTTCCAGCGGGTATTATTCCCTTTATATTTGCCAAAGAATATAATCTCCATGCAGACATACTAGGCACAGCGTAAGTGCGTGAATTTTTTTATTATAAAAATATAGTATTCATCGAGGGGTTAAAAGCATCTATAGAAATTCTTAATTAATTTCATAAATTTTGCAGGGTTATCTTTGGAATGGTGGTTGCTTTACCAGTAACAATAGTATACTACGTGATTCTTTGACTCAAACTTTTCTTAGAAAAACAACTATGCTTTGAAGAGAAGCATTATGCTGCGAATCGAAATACAGATTGTAGTAGTGTTAAATTTAATTTTTTGTTTACATTAGGATTGGACTAGGGTTAAATTTAAACACCTTTAGTTTATTTAATTTTATTTTAAAATTTATATAATTGTATTTTCTTTAAAAAAAAAGAGACCGTTACTCTTCTCTTTGGAAACATTTTTATCTGTGAAAACTTTCTTTCATTATTTTGCATACCTTTTCAATGTATTGTTATCATTATTCATGTATCATGAAGGAATAGTGTAACCTTGTCCATTAATAATATCATCTCGTTGATTAACGACTCGTTAAATTTTGCTTTGTTGCTCTGTTTCTTTTTATTCATAACAGATATCTTTCAATATTAAATATTTAGTAGATAAATATAATGTCGTCTTTACTTATTGTTGTTACAGTAGTGATGTTATAAGAACTTTGAATTAATGATTCTTTTAACAAAGACAATAATAAAAGAATAAAATCAAGATAACATTAATTAAAAAAATTAATTGGATGATATATGATGAAGTACCAAAGTTGTATTGTGTTGGCCACTCCATATACTTCTACATGCCTTGAGAAAAAGCTGAACTAATACTATTTTTAACATTATTAGTTGCACCTAAATTTACAAAAAATAAATTCTAATAATTATAAGTTTAAAGAATATAAAACAGAGACGAAGAATAACTCTTCTGTCTAGAAAAAAGTATTGTTATATAAAGTTTATACTGATAAGCACTCATCATATATGAACTTTTTTTCATATCTATTTCCTTATTAATGAGATTAGAAACCAATTTTAAAAAATAATTTCAATCTTTCGAAGTGAGAATGCTAAGAATATTTGTGTGTCTGGTGTTTTGCTTAGACAGGCTTATTCTTTGTAATACGACACAAACCCATTCCTTGTGTAAGACAGTGATGTTGGTCGACAGTGATGGATGTAACATCCAAAGTCGTGCGTATCCAAGGTGTGATATTTCAGGTTACAGTTGTTCAGATGAAATGAAATTGTCGATTTCTCAAATGGCATAACAATTGTATATATTCCTAGTCCTTATTGTACTTGTTTGTGACACTAAGGTATAATTTGTCAAAATCCACTTTTGTATGCGCAACAGAATGCATAAAAACCTATTTTATATGAAAAATTGATTCTTGCCTTCAAATACTTGAAGTGTAATATATAAGTTGATTCGTATCATACAAAGACGAATACCAGCAAAATAGTGAATGCCAAAAATGCCCAATACCAGTTTTTGTTCTAGGCTACAACAACATGCAGCTTGAACTCCTATAAAAGGCAAAGGAAAAAACAGTTCTAGCGAGGAATGCACCAAATCATTATGTACAGTAGGTGTTCCAAGTCTCTAAGAGCAGTTGCTGGCAAGTGGAATAGGGAGACCCATGTATCTAAGTACCTCTATTGATCATATATTATAGCTTACACATCACTATGGGCATCCAAGATGGTTAGATCAGAATCTAGAAACAATAAAAAGAACCAAAATGTTTGCTTAATGTGCCATACAACTACACTTAATGAGGAGTTAGAAATTTAGTTAGACAGATTCTGCACCATAATGTCCATCATGGGTGCTGCCATTTTCTTTGCTGAGTTTAGATTTTGGTAAAATGGAAGCCTGTCGAGGTGATGGCTTGTTTGATTGTTGCCTCAGATTAAGATAAGTGTAAATAGACATACCGGCAATAGCTGTGAATGCGCCACAGATACTGATTTTGCCAGGATTGGATCCAAAGAGATAAAAGTTTCCTAGAAGGAGGACACAGGTCTTGAATTGTCCAAGGACAACGTGGGAGATGGCGGATGTAGCCCTGCAAATTCAGGGGTTAGAGAGAAAATATATGAAAAGGCCAACCCTTTAGAAGATTAGTAGACCACAGGAACCACAGAAATTTGGATTCTTTGTTGAGCTTTTCGTGTTGTCACTCTGCTAAGCCTTCAAAATACATTCATGGACACTGATTTTGATGTTTTCAGATATACTAAAAGCATTTTTAATATATCAACATCAGTGTATTTTAAAGGCTTGGCAGAGAGACAACACTAAAAACTCAGCAGAGAGTCTGGATTCTAGACCATAGTTCATTCAGCCAAACAAAAGCAAGATGACAATAATGTTCTGAATGTTACAAAGATATATCATCCAAAACATAGCACTCAAATGCAAGTGGTGAATGAATAGATTACATTTGCTATACCAAAATTCATAGTAAAGAATAGTATTGTCACAACTTAAAAAACAAAATTGTGACAGTTCATTCTTAGTGCAAACGTCAGCCAGTAAAATAATAAAGTGCCCTATAAAATTTAACAGAAAATATTCTATGTTCTATACAAGAAATTGAAATATCTTTCTAAACAATTATTCAACAACTATAAATCTTACGTACCCGAGTGCTAAAGCACCAGACCACTGAAGTAAGAATCCAAGGATAGCTGATGCAAAAATTACCAAACTATTGCTGAAGTTCCAGTCAAAGGAAAGAACACCCGGTGGGTCTAAGCAGGGTAACATAGCAGCCAGGAAAATCAAAGTAATGGGTGTGGTTTTCCACATTAGCCTGTTTGATCAATCCACAAATTAGATAGGATAGAAAGAAATTCTCTCACAAATTGAAACTAAGAATCAAGAAGGGAGATGAAGATAAAAATTATAAAAGATGTAATTACTCACGACAAAGCAGTCCAGTTCTCTTGCTGCTGCAGTCTAGACCACAAGATTTTGTTTACAGCACTCGGAACAATCCATGCCAATGCTACACAAGCACCAAATACATGGAACTGAAGATCAGTCACAGTTGCCACAGCAACACCAATAGAGACCACCGATAATGCTAATGCCTGAAATGTTTCAAATTTTCTGGTAAGCATTTAAACCTAAAATATCACAAAAAGTTCCCAGAGGAAAACAAGGTGAAACTTTGCTCTGGAATATGGATTACACATGTCATTAGTAGCAAGAAAGTTTAGGCCAACTAAATCAACCAAAGCTCTTAGATGGGATGATGATAAGGTTTCCAAAAACAATACTCCCTTCAGCCTTTTACATAAGAAACAAATGAGCATAATTTTTACCTAGTTGTAAGAACTATCTATCCCTTTTAAGATGTATATCCATAATTTATTGTGAAATCTATTGATGAAATGCACACATTCTCCATGCAAGTGGATGCAAATATTGACTAATTAACAATACACGTCACTAATTGGTGGAAAGAAATTATCCCTTGAATTTTGCGTATTGTCACTAAATATTACAACTAAGTACTTTCTATGGGTATTTTTGGTTAAAGTTAAGGTATTAACTAAAACTAACTAATTTAACCACTTCTATTGGTTGATGATTTAGCTTCTTTTTATATAAAAGACAGGAGGGAGTATAATACAATCTAATAAATAAAAAGAATTATTATATGACATAATTTTGAACTGCTTAGATAGGATTTTGGATACACATATATAATATCATGTCTTATAAATAGGTCTCACACTTTGCCTCATGTAGAATGGTCGCATCAGGAACTTGATAAATGTTGTTTTAATTAAAAAAGTTATTGGTACAAAACTAGTCTATATTTCTTCCATTTTTATTACATAAAAGCTCGTATTTGGTATTCCTGCTAGATCCATATAGTCCTACTCATTTTTTTCCTTACGAAAAATAAATGCAAAACCAAAGTGAGTGCACATACCTTCGGGAAAGAAACTTTCTTCCTATATAATACAAATTCTGCAAAAACTATTGATGGTGTCACTGCAATCTTTGCCATCTGATAGAAACCAATGCTGAAGATATAGAAATTAAATTAACTGTATAAAAAAATACGTTAAATAAAAATATGAATAGTTTGTTACCTATTGTACTTCAAGCTGACATTAGCAAAGC